TGAAGTTTATTATAGCTAATTATTTAATCTTTCTTGAGACATATTACTCATAATTTATCAAACTTCTATTAGTTCTTTAGTCTATTATGAAAAGTCTATATTTTTTACAAATAATACTCAATATTTTTTTTAAAAAATATATGTATAACATATTTTGTTTTTTTTAAATGAGGCCCCTCAAATTTTGGGGCCTAAGGCAGTTGCTTTTTTTTCAAAGGGGAAGAGCCGCCACTGGTACCCATTGACCCTAACGTAACATAGATATATATATATATATATATATATATATTTATGGGAAAAAGGACAAATATACTTCTGAACTATCGTAAATGATATGTAGATACCCTCCGTCATACTTTTGGAACATTGGTGCCCCTGCCATCCAAAAACTAGAGCATATATGTCCTTTACTCTAACGGAAGACTAAATAGGGACACGTGGCGCAATCTTATCCGTCGATCTGATATTTAATAAATAACGAGTCGATGGATAAGATTATGACACGTGTATGTCCGTTAGTATAAAGGGTATATATGCTCTAGTTCTTGGACAGCAGGGGCACCAATATCCCAAAAGTATGACGGAGGGTATCTACATACCATTTACGATAGTTCGGAGGTATATTTATCCTTTTTTCCTATATTTATATAGAAATTTCTTTATAATGTCGTTACAAAAATGAGCTTGGCCTGCGTAATCAATATTCAGTTCAATAAAATATATACCTTATTGAACTAAAAAAATTAAAATGGAATAATAAATTAATGTTTGACTAGCCAATAAAACTTTAACTCCAATTGCTAATTGGACCGGCCACTTTGACAAGATAGTCAATTGCTTGTTGCAGGTTGAAACCATTAGAATTTGATACAGCTGTCTCTCATCGAGAGTAATTTTTAGATATTGATTATTATTTATAAGATTTGTATACACATTACTTTTTTCAAATGTCACTTATGAAATTACATTGTTTGGTGTGTATTGTTGAATCATTTAATAGCATTAGAGAGTCCCACTTTATGTTATGTGAACGTGTTTGATTTGATACAATATTTTAAAAATAAAGAATCTTTTGAAATTTATGGCATTAAATATATTATGATATATATATCTATATATTCAAAGTAAATTAAGATGTTCACAGTTAAGTTATTTTTTAATATAGAAAATGATTGCTCTCTAGAAAACATGAATTAACTGATCAATTTATTGGTAATTCTTAATTTGTCGCTAAATAGGTCCTAGCTAGTTAGATTTTCATTTAATCCGTCGCTGATCTACGATTAAATAAAATTAGCATGGATTTTTTTTTATTCTGTGACTAATTACTTGTTTTCTTGTACTTGGTTTTTCTTAAACAAACTAAAAAAAATAATAGCATGATACTGGAACGGATAGAGTATAAATAATTGTGCCTTCTTAAGTTGGATTACAGTTTGTTGAGTTAGTCATTTTAATTATAATTGACACCCATTACATTCAAATGATCTGACCATGAAATGATATTCTTTTCAAAACTCAAGAGATTTTTGGAACAAATTTAATTTTGAAGATTTCAACTTGTCAAATTGTTTGACCTAATGAAGGTTATATTGACCACATAAATGTGAACTTATCTGCTAATTATACTTCGAGTGGAGACACAACAAGGAAATTTACATAAAGATGTTTTGAAAAGTGTCAAAAAAATAAGTTTATAGAAACGATGGTGTGTTAATTAGTTTTTTTTTGTGTTTAAGTTATAAACATTATTAATATAAAAAAATAATTACATTGTCAGAATCATCATAAAAAGATATTCGCAAATAATTAAACTTATATATTAACACCATGTTATTTTCTTAGTTGAAAAAAATTAAAATCTAGAAGAATGTGTCATATTTACGATTCAATAAATACTTATAAATCCTTATTTATTTTACTTCTTAATTTATTTGTAGATGTCTTTTTCAATCACTTTTTTTTCACATGCCACTTTTTCAACTTCATAGGATGTATACTGAACATAAAATATAAAAGTGTGCTTACTATCAATAATTGTGAGAATTTGAGTCCGACAGGTAAATGGTATATTTTAAAAATTCAATGTACCAATAGAGTATAGCCCTAAAAACATGCATCAAAATAGATGGTTCGTTCAGTATCAGATGAACTGCGAAATCTCTTAACATGCCTAAAATAAAAGTTACGGGGTTCGCGAGACCTATTTTCAATTGTGTTACACTTTGCCTAACTTTAGGCAAACCATGCCCATAAACTAAGATGCAATTATTGCAAGTGTGTCTTCACAAAATGAGTTGATTCTATATATGGCCTAGGTTATAAAAGTAATGAATTATAGCTTGTTCCCTCAATTACAAATTGAATGACATTTTTTAATAACGATGTCAAGAAGATTATGTCCACTTTTTGAATTTGGAATATCTCATTACTTTATACACGCAATCCGAAGATAATTTGTCCCACGTTTCAATAACTCCAAAAACAAATAGACTATCAAAAAAAATAATATATCTACCTAAACTTTAATCCAATTGTCAAACGGAAGGGACGTTCACAGATTTCACAGTTCGCCTAACATTAAACAAATAAGCAATCGGTTTGGTGCATGTTTTTAGGGACATGTCTTTCTGATCGGAAAAAAAATATGCCTGTTAGTGGACACTTATAATATAACATTAGTTAAGTTAGAGGCAAAGCCAGAATTTCAGATCAGTGAATTCTAAATTTTAAAAAAGAACAACCATCTTAACCTAACGTAACAACCATCAAATTTAGAAGATTTTTATTATAATCTTCAATATTGGTCTAAGCGAGGTTAAAATTATTAAATTCACCATTAATATTTTGGCACCTAAAATAAATATTTTACTAGTTTTACTATCACCTTGAACCATTACTGTCCGTCTGCCACCAAAAGTTAAAATTTTGAAAAGCAAATAATAATTATTTTAATATAATAAATTATCAACATGTGGGATAACCCTATAATCGAATATTAAAATCAAATTTTGAATAGATAATCCATGTAAAAGCAAACAAATAAGAAAAAAAATGAAAAGGAGACAAGAATACATACCGGAGGCCAGATTTTGGACGATAACAATTAGATCAACAATAAAAGTTAGAATCCTAACTTTTGAAAACAAAAAGAAATTGGGTTAAACTTTTTTGAATGTCTGATTAGATGTTGTATTAAAGTACAACACAAATACTTTTTTCCTATTTTTTTTACATTTATAGATTTTTTTTATTTTTTTTTAAATATAAACCCACGTACGTATGAAATTATCCCAAAAATAAACTATGGATACTGAGTTACGAACCCACGTCCAATGGGGGCCGAACGATTTTACTAAGTGTGCAAACACCACTAGACCAATCATTTCATTATGCCTGTGGGTTCGCAGGAATTTTCTATATACATTTTATTTCATATTTTTTATACAAATATAGAGTCTACAGAAAAGCCAGTGGATTCGGTTTGACCCCTTTCCGATACAGTAGCTCCGCCCCTGAGTTAAGTTATGTCATTAAATATACAATTGAGATGTTAATATTTGAATAGATTTATAAAACAGGAAGTATTTCAAGCAAAATGAAATGGAAATAATAACTATATTTTTATATTTAAAAAAATGAAGGGTCAATAACATATTAAAAGTATCTTAACTTTTTGAGTTTTTTTTATCAGAACTATCAAGTGTTTATTTTCTATCTAAACGATTACCAACTATATTATTTATGAAAGTTTTCTTTTTTTACCTGGAAAATCATCATTGTTCAAGTAGGAAAAATGAACAACGGACAGTTAAAGACTTGAAATTTGTTTCGATAGATATTTGGTGATAGTTCATGTTAATAATTTGCACACCTAATACTATCATCTCTTGAAATCTCTATCTTTTGAATCAAAATTTTAAAAATTGAAATACTTTAGGTGTGTTGTTAACATTTCACTTTGTTTTAAAATATTTCCAAGTGTCTATGATTATTCCTTTTGTTCATTTCAAATTTTGCACGCCTCAGAAGAAATACTAATGAGTAATATGAGTTTTTATAATCGCAATATCCATATTAATTGATGTATAGTTTTAGGTCTTTTGAAAAATGATTTGAGTAATAAATAGTTGATGTTAAGGATGAAATATGAAAGAAAGCAATATATTCATTCTTTTATCAAACGAAACAAGTAAAAGTGAACCGATGGAGTCTCTCTCAAGAGTAGCAAGTTGCTGAATGGCAATAGAATGTTTTGTCAGAGACACAGCATGAATTGGGATAGTTAAGCTACAGTTGGATGGTCAATCCAAACTCTGTTGAAAACGACTTACCCTTATATACATTATCTACTATTATTTGTGACCTTTTCTAATGCCTAATAAGAGACCACTATTATTAAATTTGATAATATATGGATGTCATTTTCATTAAAAAGAAAAAAAGAAGACAAGTATATATTGAGAAACTTAAGGAGAGAGGAGTGGAGGAAGAAGTAGCATGTTATGGACCATTTGGGATCACAATCAAGAACTAAATTTCCTTTCAATTATTCAGTCCTAAGGTCTACTTAGAAAGATATGTCACTAGAGTCGGAATTTTAACATTACGTGTTTTGAATGTACCTTCAAACTCATAGCTCATTTTACTTATAAGGTTCATAATTAAATATTTATATATTAATACAAATACATCGTCTAAGTAAAAGTTGAAATCAGATGATCTCATTCGTCACCTATCTTTTTTTTTTCGTATTTATTTTTTCTATATAAAAAGTGAGTTCAATTCACCTAGTTTGTAGACTATGGCATGTGCATTTTTAATGTCTAGCGTAATAGGTCACAGAAGAAATGAGATCAGACCATAAATTTACAACCCCCACCCTATCTGATAATATCCACAATTTAGGGGTCACATAAAAAAGTAAATGAAAATTCCATAACTTTATCCAACAAGTATACTAAGTGATGACATAATGATGATAACATTGCATTTATATCACAAGGATAGTTGTTACAAATTAAGCACAACAAGTAAAAGTTGGTGATGACATAAAACCATAAACCTCAAAAAGGATACAAAACAAAACAAAACAAAAATATTTGATAGCAGAGTTGCTCAGATCGTAAACACCTGGTCCGAGTCATTAACGACCCTATTCTTTTTTTTCATTTCCAAGTAAGGCAAGCGGTGTCAAAATCCTAAGTAAAATTTCCTAAGTTGGGCTATATTTGACAATATATTGTCATGATTGAGCATTCTTTTCAAAGAGGGACAACCTATTATCACCAAGCCTTGTCTTATAAGCTGATGTCTTGTATTCAGACCATGTGAAATCATTGTAGAGAATTTGCTCATTAGGATCCTCCATTAGACTTGATAAAGGTGCTATCTTTTCACTCAATGGTGGCCCTCCAAAGTAAACCATTGACACCCTGGCTTTCAAACTATCTGCGACCACTCTGTGCCTCACACTCATAAACCTTCCGTTACTTATTGCCTGCCATCCACAACCACAAAACGTTACACTATTAGTACGTATATACGTGTGATTTAATCAAGTTATCTACATATGTATATGTTATTGTACGTAACTTAACCTGACGTAGTAAAGTACAAACTAAAAGGAATCAAGAAATATAAATAAGATGCATTTTCTAGTTAGTTAATTTTTTCAACAATTCTAAACTAAAAGGAATGAACTACTAAGTGGGAATCCAGATTCACGTAGTCAATCAATTGAGCTATTAAGATTTTTCATAATTAATTACCTGCAATGAGTCACCAACATTGATGAAAAAAGAGTAGGGATCAGGTGGGACTGAGATCCATGTCCCATCTTTCAGAGAGATTTGGAGGCCACTTGTGCTATTAGATCTTCCAACTGATATTACTTGTGGGTCTGTGTGTTCACCAAAACCAATCAAATTTCTACCACTCAATGCTTGAAGCAACTCTGGATATGGTGGATAGTGATTTAGCCTAAAACATGAGTCACTTTTTTCATCACTTAGCATCCTACTTAGTATATTCTTTGGTTCTATATTCAACCCTTCTGCTATCATTTCTAGCACCATACATCCCATATTTCTTACTGCACTTATATACTCGTTCACAAGTCCCCTGCATAAAAAAAAAACAATTAATTAATAGCAAAATATTAGAGTATATCTTTTGTCTGACGACTTTAAAAGATATTTACACAATCAGATCATTATGACGTCAATAGTGTTAAAGTCAAGAGCACAAGGGGTTCTTTTTTTCTTATGTATCTATGCAACATGTTAAATCATCTTATATTTACTTTTTTATATTTTAAATTTTTTTTAGTGAAAATTCTGACGGAGTAAGGGAGGTGCAAGGGACTCATGGCCAGAAAATTATATTATATGACAAATGTCAACTTTCATTGCCATCCACATATATATACTTTTTAGTGAAAATTCGGACTATGTCCTGCCCCGAGAAGAAAGGAAGATAACATTGGAACAAAATTGTTAGTACTTACCAAAAGAGAAGGGAATTTCCAGGAATAGTGATGGATTTGTTGTGATTGAGTTCAGGATTAGTTGTGAAGAGTAAATATTCAACCCAACCAACATCACCATTAGAGCCAATTCTTTTGTTACCATAGCCAAAAGGTTTAGCAGGGCCAACTTTGTCTTTCTCAATTTGGGACAAGTTGAAGAAGTTGATAGATTCATTTTCTAATTTGGTAATTGTCTCAATAGGGACACCATGATTCACCACCTTAAAGAAACCAAATTCTTGACAAGCTTTTATAATAAGGTTGTTGGCTTCAGGATCTAATAAGTCTATTACTGGAATAATACCAGTGTAAACATGATCACTAGTAGTGTTGTTATGTTTGCATGTTTTAATGTGTGAAACATTTTCTACAAGTGGTTGAGACAAAACAACCATAGTTGTTTGTGAAGAAAGCTAAGAAGATTTTTGGTTGGATATGATGAATTTTGAGTAATGGTATGGTAGGGATTGGTGGAGTATAAATAAGGCTAGCTAATGCATGAGAACAGAGTTATTTGAAACTATGTAGGAGATGACATATGGCTTAGTTTATACTCTCGCTGTCCTAATTTATATAGTGCTTTTCTTTTTTCGAGAGTCAAATAATTTAAGTTTGATCAGAAATTTATGCGTGAAATTTTCAAATTTTTTGAAATGAAAGTTATATATTTATAAATTACGTAAAAAGTAACGTAAGTCACAATAATTGACAATTCAAAAGATTTAAAAGATATATGAAAAATTTACGATCAAAGATAAACTTGTTTGAATATCGAAATCCAAAAAATGCCACATAAATTGAAATGGAGGAAGTATATATAGATTATTTACTTGGATACTTTCTCTATTGAGGGTGGACTTTAAATTACTTATATTTTCTCTGTCTCAATTTATGTGAGTTAGTTTGACTTGACACGAATTTTAAGAAGAAAAAAAAGAAAGACTTTTAAAATTTATGGTCTAAAATAAGTCATTAAAATAGACATTTTAAAGTTCAGTTGTTACTAAAAATAGAATTATGACATTCTTTTTTAAACTAACTAAAAAGAAAAGTGATCATATAAACTAAGATAAAAAAAATATTATCTATTTATCACTTTTCTATTACTTTTATTTGTGTTTCATCACATGTATCTTAGTTTGACCACAAATTTTACTTTGACTTAACGTGGAAATTAGAATTTCCATTAAAGTAAAATATGAAAGAAGTAGAATATATAAATAGTGCTAAAGGACTTTCACATATACATTGAATCATTAAAAAATTGACCTATAATTTTTTTCGGCGAAAGAAGGGTGTTAATTGATTCTCCTTGGACAAAGATAGTTATTTTTGAATCTTAAGCTAAATGATTTTTTATACATATTAAGAAGAAAAAGTAAGATAGATAAAGTGAAGTAGAAAAAAATATATGTATATTTTTAAAGAATTTATAAGTGAAATATGAGTGGTATCCATAAAGAAAATTGAAAATGGAAGAAAGAAAAGTAAAAGGTTATTGAATTATGTCACACCCGACTATAAAAAAATTCAATTAAAGAATATTGCTATTTTATTGCTCGTTTTATCATGGGTAGTTTTTATTTTATTCTTTAGAAAGAATTACTTAAAAAATTATTTAAATATAAAATTATTATAATAATTTTTCGAAAATTGAATTAGAAGTGACTATAAAGAAATTCAATTAAAGAATATTGCTACTTTTAGTGTCCGTTGGTTTCATTTTGTTATATATTTTTTAATCCAAAAAATTATTTATTATTATATTTTTCAAAGTTAAACTAGAAGTTGATTCTTAATTTTTTTGAAATTTGAAAATTTTCAAAAATTATTTTCATTTCATATTATTCACAAAAAGTTAAAATTATCTCAAGTTTTACTCATATCCAATTACAACTCTAATTTTCAAAAAAAAAAATTTAATTCCATATTACTCACAAAAATTTAAAATTAACTCCAAATTTTATTCATATTCAATCTCAAACTCCAATTTCAAATGTCATTTTCAACTTGTTAACAAATATATGTTGTTAAAAAATGTATTTTTTATTTTATGTCTATATATCGAATAAGTTAATCGTTCAAAAGTAAGATTCTTCCTAAATACCAAAGTATTATGAAGTATGAAAAAAGTACAGTAGGAAACAAAATATACTAAAGTTTAATGTTCTTGTTGACGTGTCATCGATACAAAAGGACAGAGCTGACTTTATTTATTTATCAACATCGCAAACTTAAAATAGCACTAAAAATATTCTTTGTTGGGTAGAGCTTCTATATGACTTGTCAATTTAATCGAATATATAAAAAGGTAATTTAAATGAACGAATGAAAATCAATCATGCCCCAAGTTTATTTCACAAGTCTGATACTCTTTTTAACTTTTACTTATAAATATTAATTAAAATAATAATAGTTGGTTTGATCGATAAGCTATGTGAAAAGATACACTTTTCCTCTTTCGGTTCAAAGCTATTGTTTGAAAAAAAAAAACTTGTTGATTGAGAATAAATTAATCAGGCAGGATACGGTGAAACAAGCAAATCAATTATAAATATTTTTGATATAGTTAAACAAGAAAAATAATGATGTAGTATAAAGACTACAACTACATGTTATAGCCAAAACATATATAATATGAAATTTCTGATGTGAAGTAGAGATATTGTAAAATGTTAAGTGTAGACTATAGACTTGGGGGTGTTCATGGTTTGGATAAAAACCGATCCAAACCGAAAAATCAAATCAAACCGATTAAATAAATCGATTTAATTTGGGTTTTGGTTTGGTTTGGTTTTAGATTGTTAAGAACTGATAATCATTGGTTTGGTTATGATTTTGTTCGAAAAAAATCGAAGAAATAACCGAACCGAACCAATAAGTTATAGACAGAAATTTTATTATTATACATACATAATATATTATATTCATAAACAATTTTAAAGATTTTATATATGTTTCATCAAAATTTATTTATAATTTACTTGTGAAAGAAAAAATGTACAAGGTGAGAACATTTTTCTTATTGGTTTCATGTATATGAGTGTCTATGGAAATTCATTGTGGAACTGAAAATGTCATTGTCTCTTCCTTCTATGCCAAAATAGTGATTTTTGAAGTTTTATTCAGTAAATTCAATGATCCAAAGTTCTGTAATGCCAGTCATTTTAACTATTTTTTCGTTTGAATGGTGTTGTCACTTTTTTCACGTTTTGAATGAATTGTTTCTTTTATTTTTATATATGGTTAATAACCGAATAACCGTACCAAACCAAACCAAAACCAAAAATAACCAAACCGATAAATGTATATTATATTTGGTTTGGTTTGGTTTTGATAATTTTAAAACTGATTAAGTTGGTTTGGTTTTGGTTTTGACCAATAACCGACCCAAACCAACCCGTGAACACCCCTAACTATAGTATAGAGTACTGATATAATGTCTAGTTATGTTAGTCTTAATTGATTATCGGTTTATCCAATACTAAAAACCAAAATCGAACCAATAACCCAATAATTCTTTTTAATAAAATCACTAAAATCATATTAACCCAATAACTCAAATAGCAATAATCCAATAATATTTTCTTTGATTCGATTTTGCACAACCGAAAGTAATTCAAATGAAAAGTTTAAGTGAAGTTCAAGAAGAAGGTTGAAATAGTTTGATTCCCATCTCTGTTTCCAATAACGAATCCCTAGAAAAACAATGTGTTATCCTTTCATACCAATAGAACAATGTCCTAGCACTAGAACAATATTGGAAAATGAATCTTAGTATCAATTTTAAAGTATACTCTAATAAAACCGATTCTTTATTTATTTAATGTAATCATTCAGTGTATTAAGTCAGATTCACAAAAGCATCAAGGATTTGAATCCCAATATGCTCATGATTAATAATATATTTTTTTCATTTTTGAAGTCCTAATTCGATATTTCTAAAAATATATGTCTCAAATTATTTGTTAATATACAAAAATTAAGATAGAATTAGTTAAAAGTTTTCCATTTTGACCCTTAAATTAATTATTTGAAAGTAAAATTATATTGTAAATTAAAGTTTCAAAAAAGTTTTTTCATTGTTACTCTTAGTATTGATGGAAAGCTACATAAATAGTGTGTATAAAAAGGATAAATTAGTAAAAATATTTTTGGGACGACTTCATTAGAAATGCTTTTAATGAGATCTCGTAATTGATATATTTGATTCTCAATTAGTAGAGATAAAAATATTAAGTGATTTCTTTTTATATATTCAATATCGGTGAACATATTTATTCGATATCTCAAAAATCAATCAAAATACATATAAGTTGATTGAAACATTGCGATCATATAAAAAAAATGATACGTGAAACAGAGAAAGGGTCCCTTGTTTGAGGCATGGCAAAAATCCACAAGACTTGACAGTGAGCTATAACACCCCCATGCTGCATTGTAATAATTAAGCCAATGAAACATGAATTCTCAAATATTTATTATCATATATATATATATATATATATATATAATATTGTACTTTACTCGCTCTACTGGGACTAGAAACAAATATATGTATGTCATTCCAACTGATCGACTTGTTGTAAAAGTTACGATAACTCTCTATCCATCTGGAAAAACACTTCCAAAGTTAGGAGGAGATCATACATCGTCAAAAAATTATATTGTATATATAAGATTTTTAACTTCTTCATATGTTTATTTATGCATCGATCCGACCATATATATGAGCCTTCATGATCGCCCATTGACCTTGTCTAGATAAGTGAAAACTTATACCATTAGTTAATGAAAACATATACTTCCTTTGTTTAAAAAAAATGTCCTAGTTTAATTTGGAGCGGAGTTTAAGAAAAGAAAGAAAACTTTTTAATCTTGTGGGTCTAAATTAAAGTTATGTCAAATATATCAAAATGTCCTTTAATCTTGTGGCTTTAAATATCCCATGTGAAAAGTTATAGTTAAAGTGTTGCCAAAAAAAGAAGAAGATTATTCTTTTTTAAACAAATTAAAAAGAAAACTAGGTCATTAGAGAGAAAGTATATATTTGAACAAATCTTTGAATGACTCCAAAGTTTATCTCATCTGATCATGTCTGAGCTGCTATGAATTTTGGAGAAATATATATATATTATCTCCTCGTAGGTAGACAATTGCAAGGTAGTCACATGAAAATAAGTGTATAATTGATACTAAATGGAAAGTAGAATATATATATATATATATCAGATTCTTTTGACCCACACATGTAGGCCAGTAGCAACACGTGATTATATATAGGACATGGCAGTACTATTGGTAAGTAGCGCAAGACTCAACTTTTTGAAATATAATGCAACTTGCAATATTTTAATTTGCTTCCATGTCACCTACAAATAATCCATGGTATCGTGTCGAAATCCTAGAATCCCAGGTGTTCTTGGAAGCATTAACATACTCCCTTTGTCT